CCCCCCCATCTTCCTTAAGAAGAGGGCCTTGCAGGGGGCAATTCCTAGTCCCATTTCGCAGCCTATATTTTGCTTAAATCTTTTTGATTGTTCTCTCTTTCTTTTTTGTGTGAATCCCATTCCCAGTGCATAAAATTTCATTTTCCCTGCCCCAAAAAGGCCGCATAATCCCAGTTCATATTTTACCCCTTCAAGACCCTCCAAGAAGGTACGGGCACAGCCACTGACTGACTTTACTTAATTCACATGACATTAGAATTATTCGAATCACTTTTTTGCTTGTTTGAACGCTAGGAGATCGCTATCAACAGTTCTACTGCAAACAAAGGGTTATTTAAAATACTAGTCTCGTGTCACACCTCGATGACCTCGGAATTAGAATACGTAAAGGCGTGTTATGGGTAACCTGTGTGATTATTCCAGAAAGATCTGCGAACTAAAGGCACTTTCAGATATTTACTGGCTAATTTTACTTCAACGCTAAGAATCTCTAGTTCCGTTTTTTAGTGTAAGCACCAAATGGTAAGCTAAAGTTTTCAAGAGGATTAAAAAATATCGTCGAGGACAAAGCATTTGTACAAATAAGAAACCAGAAAAAGTACAGTGGGATTCGAGACATATTTCAAGATGGCCGCTTGTCGATTCGACTGGGAAATCTTTGGAAAGGTGCTCTGTATCTTGCTTCTGTTGCTTCAAGGAGGAGTCTTGGATTACTATTTAGTAACAGAAAGCAAAACTTCGTCGTACCTTGGTTTCATAACGACAGATATCGTGGTCCTCATCGTATGGCTTATCGTAGTGTTCATAGCCAAAGTTCACTGCAACATTTGGATGAAATTTCGGCATCCCAATTGTCCTAAATTTACGATGCGTTGGAAAGCTAGAAGAAATGTTAACCAAATAGACGGTCGTTACCGTGAAGACTACCCAGATGAGTTGCCCTACGCGTTTGTTGCTTGGCTTGCCTATACAAGCATCACTCTTGTTCCTGAAGTCGCAGTGATCTTCAAGAATTATGCAGACGACCTTGAAGATGTGAAAGTATATGGTCAAAATATTCTCAAGATTGCATTGTGTATAACCCCAATATTGTTTCTGCTGCTAGTAAACTCACATCATAATGCTCATCCACACTCAAGCAGAAAATGGTATGTCGACAAACTGACAGGAGGCGTGACCCTTGATTTGATTGACAGCATCGATTTGATGGATATTTTGTTTTTAAATGACTTTAAAATTAACTTGCCTGCCCATCTTGAAAATGCCATCATTGCATTTGCTTGCATTAATTTCTTTCTCCCAACTCTTGCACTTCTTGAGCTCAGCGTCAACAAATTTGATGGCCAAGTGCGACCAGTTTCATTCCAGGTTCTCTACTCACTGAGCTATATTTTATTGGTCAACGTGCCATTTTCTATCATAAGGTTGATTCTTTGGTTCGAGTACAACCAGGATGTGTCTGTGTTTATAGCCAAGAATATCATCATGACATTCATATATATAATGGATATTCGTGAGTCCCTTGGCCCATCAAAGCCAAAGAAATGTCCTACCTGTGGTAAGCTTTTTCTTCCATCTTGCCTTGATCACCATAGAACCCAGTGTCATTTATCAGACATACTTGAAGCACAAGCAGAAGTCAGAGACAATGAAATGCAGCCAGTGTGATTTTGATTGATAGTGCATGTGGGTGTGGGTACTTTGAAACTTTAAATATCAACTACTTATGGCTCTTTGCAGCTCGCAGTTATGTGTTGACATGTAAATTCAATATCAATTGAATTCAAATAACTTTATAATGGTATTCTATTTCTAAAGATCAACAGCGAATTAAAAGGTTATTAAAAATTATAGCAATGATTTTCAAAAGCGCTTTCCCCAGTGTCATAATAATGATGAATTAGATGTTCTTTAAGAAAATAATTTTAAATTTTATAACATCTAAGTTGCCGTCACATGACTGTTGCTATAGTGTCATGACTGTTAGCTGCAAGGGGTCTAATGTTTGATTGTGTATAGATAAGAATAGGTTGAACAGTCCAGTACTCTCCCATCTCACTCCATATGGTTCTAAGATATAGGACACTTACATGGTTCTAAGATATAGGACAAAAGGTATTTCTCACATGTTGAGGTACCATCCACGAAAGAGAATGGGAAGACTTTACCACATGGTCCAGATAGACCATCATAATTTAATTAAGCAACTCTCATTCTTGAGCTCCATAACACAAGGAATATATCAGTCTTGGTCTGAGAAAAAAAAGAATTGAATGGGAATAGACTGTGAGCACAATATTTTCCCTATTGAGACTGGTTTCTTCAGATCACATAGCATATTTCCCTAGAGAATAATATTCTTAGCTTGAGTTGTATCCATATTCATATGTTTCACATGTGCAATAATCGTTAAACAAAGAAATAATACTTGAGAAAGTAACATGTGGTTTGAAATGGGAAAACATTACGAGGATGAGAGGTCTAATTGTTTTAGTGTAAAAAAACTAGTTGGACAGTATTCTTGGCTATCATGGGATGTCATCAAAAAACTAAAATTCTAAGTAATCACTCAACGAAAATGTTTGTTGAATATGTTGTCTATACCKTTATAAGAATAGCTTTACCAAAATAATTTTGTATTTTTAGTGTTTGATTTTCGAATTATTAGCAGTCACATTCTGTCACGCAATTCTGTCATGCATTTTCAAAGCATTAGAAATAGGTAACTTTGATTGGAATAATATTTTTTTAACTGAGTAAATGATTGTTAACTTTATTTTGATGATTATTGCTCTAAAAATATGGAAGTGGTTGCAATAAAAAAATGATTTTCGACCTTCATGATTTGGCTGTCATCTTTGTGCCCCTCAGTAGGACACAAAGATGGTGGACCCATACATTTCAACTAAATTGTGAGTATAATCAATCTCTGCATCAAAGACTTCTTTTAGCTAGAACTTTGGCTGAAATACAAAGTTTTCGTTGCTCTTTCGGTCAATGGAAGTTTTGTTCAGAATAAGTCTTGGAAATTTTTTTAATGACGTAGATTGACAGAAAGAAATTGTCTTGAATTGGATTTTATTATAATTTTGAAACCAAGTATTTTTTTCCATGGAGTATGAGTAATCGTTGTTATTAGAGGAGAGCCTCTATTGAAAATAAATATATTGCTGGTAGCTTTTCCAATCAGAGTGCAGCTTAGTCCACTAGTTTGCTTATACAGAAATCTAATAGAGTGATTTGACTTGGCCTGTGAAAAAGTACTAAGTAAAATGAAAAGTAGATTTTTTTTAATGAAAAGGAGTAGATACTCTGTTAATATACAACAGTCTTTCATATGCCAAGTGAAACCACACTAATGTAAATAGATATAAACTAAAGAGAACATAATATTAAGCTTATTTTTGCATTCCAAGTTATTTTTTTTATAAGCTGTTAAAAGCTGTATTAGCCATTTTGAGTTTGAGGGGAAAATCTTGGTCGAGTTGACTTTTCAGTGCATTGTGGAATTATTTTAGGGAGACATTTCCAAGATGGCGTCTATTTCGTCCCCTAAATCAGTCCAGCAGTGCACAAGAATGCCACTAGGTCACTTGCATTATAGCATCATTTACTACCACTTCCAGACTCCCTTGCACACTTTCTTTTGTTGATTTAATTAGCAGCAATTGTCTTACCATCGACTGTTTCGTTTTCTCACTGGACTCTGAAGATGACTTCCGCTCAGGTCGTCGAAACGTCGGTCATTAACAACAGTCTTTCTCAAGACTACACTCAACCGGACGATCACACTTCACAACAAATATCAACAAGGAAATACAAATTTGAATTAGAGAAAATTCGTGAAGCAATTTGGTAGTGGTAGTAAGATGACGTCACCAAGTATTTTTCTATACTGTTAGCCTTTCCTCGTTGCAGCATGGGTCTGCTTTAGGGGGACGCTTTTTAAATTATTTATGTGCGKTTTTTTTCGCTTGCYGATAGTCTGTACAAGTTCTTTAATCGAAGCAAATAAATGGTAAATAGAGTATCATGATTTAGTGATTGATGAGGTTCTCAGGCCAAACCTTTATGAAGCAGAACTGGGCCCTGACATGCGCGCAACTTGAATAACCACAATTCAATGCGCACTAGATAGAAAATTTTCTATATTAAAGAAATAGAAAACGCGCGCGTGTACTGTGTGCTGTTATAAAGCACGCCAAGGGAGCACATTAAAATGTTGTTTGCGTAAGGAAAGGTATTGTTCTTGGTTGATCTATCTAGCGCGCGCAATCCATCATGTGACAGGCGTTCCTCGTAGTGTTTTGGTTTCGGCCGATCCGAATGGCCTACGATCGTGTAAGGAAGGGAATGACGAGGAAATGACGAGTGTAATACACGTCGCTCCGTTCCTCGCAAGAAATTCGTCGGTTTTCGGAGTAAATTCGCTAGCCCGACTAAAGCAAGGAACGCCTGCCATAAAGTGTAGCGCGCGCACGTAAACAAGAACTACAAGGAATGCCTGTCATATCTTAGAATACGTGCGATAAAATCGAAGATAAACCAACACAATCAAAATTTTAACGTGCTCCCTTGAGCACGCGGGAGCTGGCAGAACACGAGAGAAGTGTTAGGAGAAGCACGACGCGTATAGCGGAGAGCTTTTCGACACTTCTCGAGTTCACTTTAACTTTAAAAAATGCTTTTGTGCAATATAAGACACTTTTAGTTTAACTTTTCGATGTGTACCAACAGAAAGCATAAAGAGTGGTGTAAACAAATGGATAAATYGAGATTCTTATAAAACAATAGAATCAAAACTCCTATTCAAATTGAGAGACGCTACCATTTCTCACCTTTATAATTCACTAATTTAAGGCGTCGCTTCCTAAAGTCTTTTTTCTAGTTTTTTGTATATGCTTTTATCTAGTCTAAGTGAAAAGTTTCTGCGATTTTGGAAAGTTTCTTTCTTTTTTATTGGGATGAAATATTTTTACGGCAACTAACTCGTCTACAAAGACATTTTTTGAAAACTTTGAAAAGCGCAACTCGATTCAAACTTTTAATTTACGGATTAATAATTAAAGTCAATTTTCAGTTGAATAAAAAGTAAAACCTCTTAACTATTTTCTTTGCTCTTACATTTTGRTTTAAAAGAAGACAAGAACAACACTCACATATTTATAAATAAAGTTTTTATTGCAATGATATAAAATTTACACGTCCTATATATTATTTAACGCAGTCCTATATATTGTTCAATGTAAAAACCAACGCCATGTATTTTTTTCAAATCATCCTTTCAAATCAACCTTTGATCAAAAACCATAGTATTAAATATATCTGGTGTTAACAACCTTCTAAGAGCACTATCAAAGAATGCACTTGTTGATTGGGAAACRGCAGTTTCTTCTTTCGCTGCAAACACATTTGGCGGGAAATCTTGAACAGGCGCGTAGCAGCCCCAGCGGGGTCTTGTAGCTGGAGTCACTTGTACGTAGTTTGGTGTCCGTAAACTAGGCTGGGCTTGAGAGCCGAATAAGTTTATTCTGGCGCGATCTCTTTGTACTGTGTGGCTGGTCTGTTCGTTTGCCACAAACATCTGCTCTGGCAAAACCAAGTCTTTTTGAATATGGATCAGCTTTGGATCAGTACTGGCAAGGACGCTGTTTCCGCTCTGTGTGGGATGGGTCGTTGCAGCAGGCGTACTGTTGAGAGATCTTCGAAGCTCTGCTCTTCGTKTCCATCTTTGTAACTGTTGTTCTGTGTGAGCGGTTTCCTTGAGTCGTATCATCTGTCGCTTTTTGGCACGGGCATTCTTGAACCAAGTCTGCAAAACACAAATAGAACACAACGATTAGCCTTATATGACAACCATCACTGGATATATCGCGGATCTTTTGGGAATAGACTTCAGAGCTCATGCATACCTGGACTTTTTTAATTTCTACTCCCAGAGCTAACGCCAGGGCCTCGTATCTTTGAGGTGTGGGGTATTGGTTGATGTCAAAGGCAGATTCCAACACTTCAATCTGCTTCGCTACGAACTTTCTGCCTTTGTTGACTGCTTTAAGTTTTTTTTGTATCTTGGGACATCGTACTTGTGGAGGAGAATCCAATGGAAYAAGATCTGGAACTAATGAATAAAAAGACACATTGGTGAGAAAGTACTCTATAGTGGAAAACGTTTGGGAATTTAAGCGAACAGCATTCATAACATAACGAATAACAGTGTTAATCCCGGAGTCAAAACTTACTGTAGAGCAGAGAAGATTGCGGGGATGTCCTGAGGTCCAATTGCCTTTTGACGCTTGCCATATTAAAAAACTGACTAACTATCCGTTTGTAGGTTGCTCTTATCTGATGCAAGATGAGTAATGAATGATTGATCCAGATGAACGACACATTTTATAGTCCTGTAGCAAAAGTGGGAGGTGCGTGGGAGTAATTCATGCATCTACAAATGAACTATCAGAACAATAGAATCAGATTCAGTAATAAACTTACACCTACCGTTAATTGGCGTTCAGCTAATTACGTGTATCCTTTTGTTATCAATTAACTTATTCAATTAGTAAGTGCGAGAAGGATTGATTGATTGCGTGTAAACAATCTTTTTGACTTGATCTCTCACTTCAGATTGAACGTTTGGCTTTGTAATGCTTAAAAAGACTGCTTTTTGTTTTTCGCGCAACTGATAAACTCGTAAGATTAGTATTGATTGGAGCAACTCGTTCCTACGAGTCGTAAAAAAGCAATGAACTCAGCTTTGATGTTATTTATGATCAAAAGTAAATAAGTTTTATTGAGTAACGTGTAAAATGTGAGCATGGTGAACAAGAAGGAAACTTATATCTTGAAGTTCCTTCTTATTAACTTGTTCTTACTCACAGCATCCGTGTAGCTTTAGTCATTAATCATTAGTTTATTAATAGTTAATTTAACTATAGCTTATTTAACATGTAAAAAAAATTAGTAGTCAACGTTAAGGCCGTGCAAACCCATAGGAGGCTCTCCGAACAGGCTAGCAAAGTAGCAAAAAAAAAATCTTTAAACACTCTTTAATTTTTAGCGGGGAGGGGGAGGAAGAAGCTGAGGGATTCTTCTGTGTGTGCAGCAAATCTTTGCTTCGGGAATCTCATAAGACGAAATTTTAGTCTACATTTCACTTTAGAAAATATGGCGAGCCTCTAATAAAGTCATGAATTAGTATCGAAACTCGGTTATCTTATTTTCTAACAAACACTCTAAACGGTACTGGCGGTTGTATTAGYTTTATGACACGCCAAAAGTATCTAAATCGAATAACTGGAATCCTAAGATATACGCATCTCCGCCCTTTTTCAATCGCGCTCTCTCCCTCCAGACCCCGTAGCTACATGCGCTTAGGTCATTCATCCCCCTACTACGTGTTTGTGATTGACGCTTTGGACTATAGTGATAGACTGCCTTTATTAATTCTTTTCTACATTGAAAGAGTCTTTGTATGACAATAAATATATTGATTTATGATTCATTCTCATCCAAAGCTGAATAATTATCGATGTTTTTTTGATTTTCGAGTTATTTATTCTTACTTCCCGGATTTGTTTTGGAACTTCGTACAGTTAGGATCATTGCTGGCTCCATTTGTTGAGTTGCACAGATACTTGCAAGCTTTATACAYGTAATTTTCGTCATTACATTTTTCACAGCTAGAAAGACAATCATCCTTCTCTTTAGTTTGATTGCTTCCGGAATTCATCAGGAGCGATGTACACTCAGGATCATTGCTGGCTCCTTTTGTTGACCTACAAAGAGACGTGCAAACTCCGTACATGTAATCTACGTCCATGCACTCTTCACAACTAGCAAGACACTCCCTCTCTGCTTCAGTCATAAGGAACTCTGGATTTTTACATTCAGGATCAATGCTCTTTCCTTTCGTTTTTCTACACTCTTTCAAGCAAGCACCGCCTATATAAACACTCTTCCCATGGATAAACGTACAGTGTGCACAAGCATTAAAGCATGCATCCAACTTATTAACTTTCACGAAATCCGAATTTTTACAGTCAGGATCTCTGCTGGCTCCATTCGTTTCCTCGCACTTTTCCATACAAGCATCGCGTTTATATTTATCCTCCCCAAGGATTCCCACACAGCGTCCACAGTCAAAAAGACAAGTATTCAGGTTACTGTCATTGAGCTTTTCTTTCTTTGGCAAGGCGTGGCTACCACAAACGAAAACAAGGACCACGTAGAAGTGAATCACGACGTTCATCATGGTTTTGGGTGATTTAACCTGCTGAAATATGAATCATTCATGTTTAATGAAGTTTATTTGTTTTGTTCTGATTTAATTTTGCTTTTGTCATTTTAACTCTCGCTTTCTTTGGCATTACTTTTCGTCGTCCTTTTTCATTTACTTGTTATATTTAAATTAAAAGTCGACAAATAGAACTAAACTTAGCAGATCTCACCATGATTTCCACCGGTTTTCTTTTGTGACTATTTGACTATATTGCACATCGGTTAAGCATTAAGTGAAATCGCTCCAATGTGCCATAAAGCACTGAAAAAGTTCTCTCTGAATTAGTTTTTCTTGACGTAGAATATATTTTACTTTGAATCACACTTTTTCTATTCATTTATTTTTTCAAGTCGATTTTTTTTCTCGGTTTTTAGTTTTGTGATTTTTAGAAAAAAAGAAAGAAAGAATGTTTGCTCGTCGTTTATTCTTATTTCGTTCAGTTTGCATTTTTAATTTATTAGCTGTATGCTGAATTTCTTCTAGTTTTATCGCAGTAAAAAAGTATTTCCCTAGAGTAATATATACACAGAATGTAGTGTAGTGTAAATCAATAGAGTGAGTTTAACTAGTTTTAACAGCCCAAGTAAAACAAAAGAAAACAATGGAATTAGTTATGTATTACGTTGACTATTCATTCACGAGGAGGTAAAATCACTCTAATATAAAGCAAGACAAATAGTTTCCAACCTACCTTTCTCGTAGTTTCTACGTAGCGTTTAGTTTGGTCTTTAGACAAAGAGTGACTGGAATAGTCCTCTCAGTGACTCTGAAATAAGTAATCAATACGGGCCAATCAGGAGGAAAAGAAATTAATTTTCTACCATAAAATTAGCTAGTTATTTGGAAAGGTCATTCATGGTGGAACTGGTTTGAAATTTAAAAGCCGTATCCGATAATGACAAATCATAGTCTGTCATAGTGGTAAAAGTAAATTAAACGAACGCCAAGTGAATGAGGTGAATATCACATGTAATAGTAATAGCTAATAAGCAATTATTAGATGAGGTTGAGCATAATATTGTAATTTAGTGGATGGGTCATGCTTTTTTATATGCTTGGCACATTTTAGACGCATTTGATTATGACATTTTCTTTAATATGTGTAGTATGTTTCAGTGTGTATATAAGAATGTGGACAGATGTATCCTTTATCGACAAATACATATTAGTCGTCGATATTTAGAGCACTCTTTGAAAAGCATACTTTTTAACCACACAGCATTCATCAGAGGCCTTATTGTTTTATTCGGAAGAAACTATTCCAAGCAAAAAAATGCCAATTCGACCAAGTATTTTTTCTGCTTTTAGCCTTTCCGCGTTGCAGCATAAGACTGTTTTAGAGGAATCATTTTATATTATTTATGTGTCGTCTTTTTCGCTTGCTGATAGTCTGTACAAGTTCTTCAGTTGAAGCAAATAAATGCTAAAAAGTCTAGTGATCTAGTGATTGATGACGTTCTCATGCCAAACCTCTATGAAGCAGCAGAAATGGGTCCTGACATGCGCGCAACTTGAATAACCACATTTAATACGCACTATTGAAGCAGGGCTATTGAAGATTCTTATACTGAATAGGATGTCATTTGGATTCTTGTAGTTTATGAATTCTTTAATGATTTAAAAAACTTACAAACCAAATTTCCTGAATACTTTATTTGGCGAAGCTCAAACTCCAACTTTTAGGTGGTAAAGTCAAAAACCCGTGAAATAGATATTAGACACACTTTAGTAGACCTCAATTACATTGTTTTTCTTTTGTATCTATTTGACTATTACACGTTGACTAATAATTTTTATTTCATGGGTTAAATGCCTTCACTCTAAAAAAAATGCTTTTGTGTAATATAAAACACTTTTATAGTTTAGAAGCCGGTTTCCATAAACCCGTGAAACAGATTTCATTAGGCCTCGTCCACACGTATCCGGAAATTTTTGTATCCGCAAATTATTTTTTGCGGATACGAAAATGTTTGCGTCCACACGCAGCGTATTCGAATCGTTTTCACCATCCACACGTATCCGTTTTCGTAAAATTTGCAAATACGGACACAAAAATTTGCGGACACGTGTGGACGCAACCCGTATCCGTAAAAAAAAAAAAAAAAATACGGGGCCTTAGTTAGTGTGTAATTGTGAAATGACAACAAAAGAACAGGGTTTAAATAGGGTCTACTAATTCGTATTAGGCTGGTGTGTGTTTTATGGATTTATGAAAACCACTCGACTTTTCGATGCGTACCAAGGGAAAGCAAAACGAGTGGTATAAACAAATGGATAAATCGAGATTCTTATAAAACAATAGAATCAAAACTCCTATTCAAATTGAG